CAACCTCCCAATCCGCCCTGCTCTGTGCATGACAGGGGGCGGCGCCCCAACTCCCCAATCAGCCCTGCTCTGAGCCCGACCAGGGGCTGCACCTAGGGATTGGGCCTGCCCTCTGCCACCCGGGAGCAGGCCTAAGCCAGCAGGTCGTTGTCTCCTGAGGGGTCCCAGACTGCGAGAGGGCACAGGCCGGGCTGAGGGACCCCCCCTTTCCCCCCCCCCAGTGCACAAATTTTTGTGCACTGGGCCTCTAGTTTCTTATAATAATAAATAATCCAGGCATTAAATAGGAGATGAAACATCACTATTCATAGTTTGAAAAATATTCTGTACGTATAATATTCATATTCTGCTGCCTAAAATCACTGTACAGAATGCAGAAACACGCATTTCATGGCATTCCATGGCACATACATACCATGGTGTCAAGCCGACCAATGACTTCAAATGAAAAATCCACACCTCCACCGCTCATTTCCTTCAGCACCTCGTGGATGGGTTTCTTGAAATCCTGTGGGCTGATGCACTCAGTGGCGCCCAATTGCTTTGCCTTCGCATATTTGTCTTTGTTGATGTCCACCCCAATGATCCTGGCTGCTCCAGCTGCTTTACAGCCCATGACAACCGACAGGCCAACTCCTCCAAGGCCAAACACCACACAGGTGGAGCCTGGGGTCACCTGTGTTTCAGAAAATGCAAAAATGGATTAAGTAATGATTGTTGTATAAAGTGTCCTGTCTTATCCATTATCAGGACTATTCAGACTCCTATGTCCAACCTGCTGTCAAAACCTGTTTTGGCTTCAGTTGTTTCGTATTTAAATTGAGGAGTTTAAATCTGTGGTTCTGAACTTTGCCAGACATTAGACCCCCGTGGGGAGCTTTAAAACCTCTCAATAGCCAGGTCACAGCCCATAACCAATTACATCAGAACCTGTGCAGGTGGGGCCTGGTTCCCAGGTGATTCCAATGGAAAGAAAGCCCAGGCTGGGAGCCCACTGTTGGATGATCTCTGAGCTCTAAATGCCAATGACTCCCATCTTGAAGAGAATCTCTAGTGGCTGAAATCCATTGACAGGCTTTGGTAAATTGTACATACACAGAAGCAATTTTTGGGAAATGAAATAAGTGGGAAAGGTTAATCCATGAGACCAAAGATAATCTAATCAAATGCTCAATGATTAACTCCTTGTTTCATTAGCTTTAGAAGTCATGACTAGTACAATGAGAACAGAAATTAGCTGTAGGGCAGAGAAGAGTTATTCTCAGCTTCAAGTCAAACCTAACAACAGGGGAAATGGAACTGGAAACTTTAAACAGCTTGAGACCAATGTGATCTTAGTGGGTCTTTATCTTTGCTTTTTAAAATACACTAATGAACAATAATGCAATAAAAGTTGGCCACATTTTAATAATGGATGGAATTCATTTTCATGAGTGCCCTTGCCCTCTGCTCTGTGTGCAGGCTCAGTTAGACCACCTGCTCAAACAGACAAGGCAATTGCACAAGGGACTTAGTGCTAGAGTCTCAGAAATTTGAAAAACATGTGCTTTCAGTTGTTGAAATTGGCTAGGGACTGTTTAATACACCTAGTCAGCTATAGGAGTCAACCTTCAGTGTGGGTAAAATATTCCTTCTGTCCCAAGCAATCAAGTATTCTCTGGGGGTATAACATTAATTTTTACATTACTTAAAGAAATATGAGACTTGTGACTGTGATTTTTAAATGCAGGCAATTATATATTACTAGAGGCCCAGTGCATGGATTCGTGCACATTGAAAGGAAATTAATCAGAAGGTGGCTGGTGGGGCGGGACTGGGCGAGAAGAGTGGGACATACCCTGGAGCCAACCTCGCTCGGTTCCTCCCCGCTAGCCACATGTGGGGCAGTGCTGGGGCTCGAAGGGCATCTTCGGAGTGAGCAGCGTCCTCCGGCAGGGGGGGTCCCTCAGCCTGGCCTGCAGGGATTGGCCGAAACTGGCAGTCCGACCTCCCCCTAAGGGTCCTGGAGTGTGCGAGAGGGCACTCTGCAAAGTTGCTGTCACTCAGCAGCTCCTGTGTTGAGCATCTGCCCCCTGGTGGTCAGTGTGCATCGTAGTGAGCAGTCGGGTCATTCTGCTGTTCAGTTGATTGGCATATTACCCTTTTATTATATAGGATGGTTTAAGATGCAGTAGGAAAAAGACATGCTAGTTACAGCCATAAGATTTTGGGCAAGTAGCATTATGGATGTGGGCCTACTAGATTTCCAACCTTTTGTGAAGAGGGGGCCTTTAAAGAATTTCTCCTTCAAATCTACCACCTCTGAAGAGAGAGAGAAAGAGTGTGTGTGTGTGTGTGTGTGTCCATGGCAGAGGAGGAGATGAAGCAGTGAGATCCCCTAATGAGTGGAAAAAATGCATAATACATCACCTTATCTTCCTTGCTTTCCTCATAGGATTCCACAGGGCAGGTAGGTTGGTGATACTTGGTCTGGAGGTGTATCAGGTAAGGCTTTGGAATCTACTGCTGGTCCTAATTCTGGGAGTAGCAGGTCATGGTCTAGAATAGATGCTCCTCAAAGGCAACTCTTTCATTTCATTTACTTTTGCTGCCTCAGGACCTAGAGGGTCATACTGTACCTGGTGCATGTTTGTGCTGACTCACCATAGAATGAATGACTACGTAAGGTCCTAGCTTTAAAATTTAGTAATCCCATAAAGAACAAATATAGAAAAATAATGATTGAAAATGGCACCTTTACTTTTTCTTCACTAGTTATCAACAGCTTTTTCACTTTTTATAAACAGATTAAATTTCTAGCTTATGCTCTTAATTTTTTCTGAGGGCATTTTCTACTCATAATCCACACTAAATTCTATGGAGTAGGTCAATGTTATTGTGGTATTGGGAAGGGGGGAAATCTACCAGTAAATCTATGAAGAATGACCTCTGAGTCTTGTGAGAAATCGCTTTCCTTTTTGTTTCTGACAGCCCGAGTGCAACTGCTTTGTCATCTGTTGTCATTCTTACCTTGGCAACTTTGACTGCAGACCCATAGCCAGTTGTGAATCCACAGCCAATCAGACAGACTTTATCTAGTGGTGCAGCTGCATCAATTTTGACCACTGAGATCTCGTCCACCACTGTGTACTGGGAGAAGGTGCTGGTGCTAAGGAAGTGGTTGATGGACTTCCCTTTGCAGGTGAACCTGGTGGTACCATCCTGCATGGTCCCACGAGGCATGCTCAGACTGGCCAGTGCAACACACAGACAGACAAGGGCATGAGACACGTGCATAACAGTGTGCAAATTCATTGGCTGTGTCAGGAGAGTAACGGAAACTTACTCATTTTTCACACAGAAGTTGCCTTCCGGATGTTTACAAACATTGCATTTTCCACACTGGGGAGTAAAGAGTGGGATGACTTTATCACCTGGAGGGGGAAAAAGCAAATTCTTATTAAATTTCTACCCAGGAATTAATAGAGCAAGCACTTAAAGCTTATGGGTGTGTATTAGAGGCAGCTGTCTCACAGAAACAGGATCCAGTCACCATGATGTCATTAGACATTGCTGGCAGCATTGTTATTGGTTTGGGTTTGTATGTGCCTGAAGATTGCCAAAGAGGACATGTGACTGTGGGGACAAACATGGATTTTAAAGTATTTCCACTGCATTAATAGTTATCTTTTATTCCATGCCCTTTCTCTTGGTGATTTTGCATCTCACTTAACTCTTAATAATTAAATCTCAAATGTACTCACTGTAAGTATATATATAAATTTTAGTTATGAGAGGCTGCCATGGGATCACTAGATGTTGGGGACAGCCAGTATTTTGTAATAGTTTGGGATACAGTAAAAAATGAGAATTTTGACAACCATTCATGGCTTTTCAAAGTGACTGCGTATGCTCTAGCTGGTTTGGCTCAATGGATAGAGCGTCAACCTGTGGACTAAAGAGTCCCAGGTTCGATTCCGGTCAAGGGCACATGCCCAGGTTGCTGACTTGATCCCCAGTGGGGAGCGTGCAGGAGGCAGGCAATCAATGATTCTCTCTCATCATTGATGTTTCTATCTCTCTCCCCCTCTTCCTTCCTCTCTGAAATTAATAAAAATATATTTTAAAAATTAAGAAGACACAAAGTGACTGCTTATTTTTATTATAAAATGAGTTTCTATTTTTTTAATTTTAGTTTTCTTAAAGAAAAAATAATAAGAATGTGACAAAAAAGAATTAAAGAAATTCCTTTGAAAATTTCAACCCTCAGCAATGAGGTACTTCCTTTTATGATGAGAACTGATTTTTAAATGTTTTTAGCTGATAACTTAACTTGTGAATTATTTATTTTGCCTGCTATGGGGGAGGGAGCCAGGGTGAAAGTAAAAGTGTCATTTATTGTTAATTTATTTCTAAGTAAAGGAAATACTAAGAGATGAAACTCAAACCAGATCATATATTTTAATATTTTCTCTCAACAATATAAATAAGTATTTGGCAATGGGGGAGGTCAAATCTACTGGCTAAAGTTATTTTTTTTTAGAATTAAACATTATTTTTGTTTTCAACTAGCTATTCTCCATATCCACAAAACCCATAAAAAGGGTTAGGCCATAACATTTAATAGATAAACTTTATATGGAGATTATCGCATGAACATTTTATATTTACTCAATCTTTACCTCTAAAAATATTTATCTATATTAATGCACAATAAAATTCAGACAAAATAAATGTTAAGGATAAACTAGTACCCTGTAACCAGTCACAGTTAGCCATGGTTTAATGTAGTAAAACAGATATTGTTTAGTGCAGGGGCCTTCTGCCAGGTCTCTCCTTTTCTTCTAAATAGCCTGTTTCATTCATTCTGTGCTCAAGAAGGGAGGCCATAGTGGAAGGGAAAACCAGTGAATGGGTTCCACTTCCCACCTAGAGGAGATCATGTTGATTCAGTCAGAGCCTCAGTGTTGTATCTTAAATCAGCGAGATAGATACGAGACGCCTTAATGAGCCAATTAATTAGGAGTCTTTATTCGCGCGGGCCCAGAGGGAGGTGTTTCCCAAATCTCTGAGCAAACACATAGAGGAAGTTTTTTCTATTTATACCTTTTTGAGCCCTTTGTCTACAGATTTCACAAAAAGCTCTGTGTAGGTTGTTGTTACAAACAGTTTGTAACCTTGAATACATAATGAACTAACACTTGGCATAAGAATATGGGAATTATCATCAGTATCAGTATTAGCCTGTTAAGTCAGATGGCTAGCTTGTAAGGTCAGACAGCTAAGTTGTTATTGTTTTTTTAATCTTTTTCTATTATTCAAACTAAAACAATTATTTTACAGAATAAAGGACTATCTAAAAATAACAGAGTTGACCTACAGAATAAGAGACTGTCTAAGAATAACAGAGTAGTTCAAACAGCAGTTTCAACAGCAGTTTTCCAAAGGAGGACTTACTATGCTTCATCAGGGTCCCCGCCCTGGGAAGTCAGCACTGAACAGTTGCCATGCACTGACCTATAGGCTCAGGACACAGACTTAGATGTTTTTCCTGTGTCCCATTTGTAGTTCTTCTTGGACCTGAGAGAAAACAGTGCTCAGCGACACTGAAATGGAAGTTATTTGATTATGAACTCAGGCAGTGGGTCCCTTTTTATCCTCGTGTATCCCAAGGAGCTAACCTGGTGCCTGACAGATAGCAGGCGCTCAACAAATTCCTGCTGAAGGCGAGAACACAGGAGTGCATGAATGCATACATGTCTGAGGCAGGAAGGGGGCAGAAAAGGAGGAGACCTCTGTTCAAGCCCTAGCTGTGCTGCTGCCCTCGGCAAGGTCTTGCATCTCTCATTGCTTCAGTTTCATCACCCAGGCTGGGTGATCTTGGGGTCCTGAACAGTACCTTCTCCAAGTAGGAGTTCTATACCTGGCTTTACTGTAGTCACCCCTTCTCCAATGCTCTCCACAATGCCGGCTGCCTCATGGCCTGCGATCACAGGAAGAGGTGTGGCGAAGTTTCCACTAACCACGTGGTCATCTGACCGACAGACTCCTGTGGCCACCATCTACAGGGTAAAGGGAAGATAATTAGGTTCAGAAAAATTGTGGCCCTCAGATGGACTTCACATGCCCGATTTCCTGAAGTTGGGCTTTTGAAGAGTTTTCAAGGATTTTTTCTAATAATCTCTACTCTAACCAAATACACAAGATCCTGCTTCTCAAGATGACTCAGATTAAAACCCTCCTACACTTTCCTCCCTTGCCTTAGGCAAACCAGAGTAATCTATGAAATAATTATTTTTCAAATATTTAAGTCTTATGTAATAAACAAGAATGCATTCTTTTTTATAGAAGTAGAAACTATAGATTAGCACCAAGAAAATTAAGTCAGTTAAGTTCCACCATGTAATGCTAATTGATTTTGAAATCTTGATTATTATATATATGTGTATATATATATATTTTCTTTTGCACTTTTTCCTGTATAAATATATCAATTCTTTTTTATTTTATTCTTGTGAAAGAATTATCATCTAAAATGGAACTGAGGGATATAAAGACAGAAATCTCATGTATTTGCCATCAGGAAAGCAAAACACAAGGACTGAGAAATCAATTTTCTGTAAATGCCAGGTTTACAGAAAACTGATAATATTGGAATTTTCCCATATGATAAAAAGTTGGTCAGGAGTTGCCTCATATCAACCTTTGGGAAATTTTGAACTAAAATGACTCTGGTAGGATTCATCTCACAAACTAAGCTGAATTGAGCTTTATTTGTATGACTGGGTTGTTTTTTTTCCTCCACGGGAAATTTTCAACACTTGCGTCCATTTGTTTTTGTTTCAAAGATGAAAAAAGTGTTTAATGAAATAAAAAAAGAACAGATGGCTGCAATATTATAATCAGATTAAGAAAAATTCAAGGCCCAAACTAATTAAATGAGACAAAAAAATAGTATCCTATCTAATAAAAGAGTAATATGCAAATTAACCATCACTCTGCAACAAAGATGGCGGTGCCCATGGCGGCGCCCATAGCAGCCGGGGCAGGACACTGCCAGCGTCACCCCAGCGATGTGAGCCCAGCAGGCATCACCGCGGCAACCCACGAGCAGGCAAGCGTGGCCCGCAGGCAGCACCCAGCAGGGCCTGCTTGCCCGTTGCTGTGGTGTGGAGCAGGCAGGCCCTGCAGAGAGCAAAGAACCATGGGGAGCAGGCCCAAGCTGTCAGTAGGACATCCCCTGAGGGCTCCCGGATTGGAGAGGTTGAAGGTTGGGCTGAGGGATTTAAGGCACATTTTACTTCTGTAGGCTGTCATAGTCATGATCCCACTTGATGCATGCAACACCTTTGATCCATACAACATTCCACCCTTGAAATCTGTAGGGGTCTTCTCTCTCCACGTGTGCTGTAGTTTTCTCTTTTCTTTTCTTTTCTTTTTTAAATATATTTGTATTGATTTCAGAGAGGAAGGAAGAGGGCTAGAGATAGAAACATCAATGATGAGAGAGAATCATTGGTTGGCTGCCTCCTGCATGCCCACACTAGGGATCAAGCCCACAACCTGGGCTTATGCTCTGACTGGGAATCAACCATGACCTTCTGGTTCATAGGTCAACGCTCAACCACTGAGCCACACTGGCTGGGCTAAAAAGTGCTCCTTAATAAACTTTTTGTTATTTCCATTTGTACTATTCTCTGAATTTTCTTATACTTAAAATTCAATAGAAGAGAAAAAAGTGTTTCACCTTTATACGGACTTCATGAGCCTTAGGGGCTGCTACCTCCACCTCCTCAATGGAAAAGGGTTTCTTTATCTCCCATAGCACAGCTGCTTTGCATTTTATTACCTGGAAATTGAACAGAAAGATGACACAAGTGCTTACCCACTCTTGAAGTCGGGGATTGTGACTTTCATCTTTTTATGTGCAACATCTAGCCCCCTGTCTGAAATCTGATAAATGTTATATAGAAAAGGACAACTTCTGATTTGCAAAAAGAATGGAATACCTTTTTAAAAAGTGTAAAGTAATAACATAAGAAAATAGAAATAGAACTAACTATAATGAGGCATTGAGATAAAATGTAATATGTTCTTTTAGGTCATCCTTATATTGTTTCTTTTTCCAAGGGTTGTTTATTTGTGATATTTCCTAATGCAGTCCTGAAATTGGTTGTTTGCCCACAACTGTTGGCTTGCAATGAAGTTTTAAATCACAAATATTTCACTGATAGGATCACTGTCTGGTCACATAAAATCTATTGCTCTCTTGTTCAAGTCTCTGCTTAAGCCCCAAACAACCGGACTTTATGATTCCAGTGCATACTTGCCTCCCTGCATAGGTGACTTCTCTTTCTCCTTGTCTGTCCTCCTCCTCCGATTTCTCTCCCCACTACTTCCGTGTGCTACTAGTTTGCATGACTCATTTGAAAGTGAGCTTTGGCAGCTCGGTTTTCTTCTCTAATTTATGTGTTAGATGTGAGCCAAAAACTCACAGAGGTTACAGCTGTACAAACACACACACACACACACACACACACACACACACACACTCACACACACAAGCACACATACTCTTACCGACATACACACATATATATATTTTTAAATGGGTTAACTGTGTTTGACTTTTTAATGCAGCATAGTTTACCCATAGATGTTCTTCAAAATTAAAGTTGAACACATATTTTTAGTACTTGAGAATGTAATACAGTATAAAGCCTGTCTTTATTGTTACAAGCTTATAAATTTGAGATATTTTTTCTAGATAGAAAATTATGTAATAATTTTGATTATGAATTTTAAATTCACAATTGTAAATATAATTTTGAAAGGTCAATTGAAATGTATGCTTTTGCAAATTAATTTTCATTATTTATATGTCAAATTCTCCCACTTTGCTGAGTGTTTGTCATGATCAATATCACAATAAATATGAGAGTACTTAGAAATAATACACTAATAGTACATAGCTTCTGATTATCAAGTGTTCATTTAATGGGCAGGCACATTGTGGCCAATGCTGAATGAGTTACATACTGATCTTTAAAGCCTACAGGGCAGTATTATTAAGCTATTGGTCTATTTTCAGATGGCAAAGTTGAGGCTCAATTGACTCAGTATCTGACTGAGTAATTTTTGCAAAGTCACAAAGTTTGCTGTCCAGAAAATTAAGATCAATCCAACTTTATCTTTTCACCAACCTATGGTAGTAAAAGATTAACCAAATTTTAAATAACAACAACATCAGTAGCAGTTACTAACATTTATTGAATTATTTCTATGTACCAGGCCCTATCCTAAGTGCTAAGGAGTATTAATTTATTACATTCTCACAACTATCTTATGAAGTAGGTGTTATTATGATTGCTGTTTTGCATTTGAGAAAAATACAATGCAGGAAGAATAAACAGGTGAAGTGTTACCACAAAGCTGAAAGCTATGGATGTTGCCCCAGAGGGGAAAGAACTAATTGCTTAGCATTTACTGTTTTCATGAATACATTCGGTTTACCCATTTGCTCTCTGAACTCATTATTTCTTGCAAGCTGAGTTTTGACAAATTTATTTTTAATTTTTCCTAACTTTTCTTCATTTGGAATGTAATTCACCATCATAATGGCTAATCAGTAACAAATGAAAATAAAGAGAGTTGAAATGAAAACACTGACAATTGGCTCCCTTGAGATTTCCAACAAATCATATTGATATATAGGCCTTTTGTATAACACAGGGTGTGTATAAATCTCAGAAACTTCCAATTGTGTTATCATAGCAAAATATTAGAGTGTGTGTTCCACTCCTAATACAACAAAAGTACTGGACACTTTTTGGGACTGAGCAGTTAAACAATGTGAATTGATTATACTGAATGGTCACATTCAATATAATCAAGTGCATTTCTCTGCACTTGTAAGCACATTGAAGAGGTAGAAAGATCTATGGAAGACCTAGAACCAAATATCCCTGTTTCTACTACTAATAAGTGACTCAAACTATATCAGTATTAATTTTTGATAAAATCATGTTGACTTTTGTATGGAAAAGATATTTTTCTATAAGATTTCTATGGAAATTTCCTGCATTGAGCTATCATAGGACCCTTTAAAATTAGAATTTGCATGTTGATGTTGGCTTGCTTATCCTTGATGATTCTAATGCTTTGAGATCAATAAAACTTATGTCAGACTTAACTTTCCTCCTGTGTTCATAAAAACAAAGATATGATTACAAAACAATAATGTTTAAGTTATGGCTTCTTAATATAAAGTTAAATTATTGATTAAAAATATTTCTAACTTCAGATTTTCAAGTTATGCATGATTTCCTGTAACTACTGCCCATTTATCTAATATACAAAATAAAGACTTTAATAGGTACAGAAGCTATATATTCTTTTAAAGATATTTTAGCAACAATCTATTTAAATTCTGGTTCAATATACATTGCATAACAAAGCATATATTTTATTTTATGTTTCAGTTTATATGGTTTTTAATTTAGATATAAATTTTAAATTATTCATTAAATATTGTTTCTCTTTGTGAATTATATGAGAATATATTTTTAAAAGTTAAAAAAAAATGCTTACTTTTCCTGCTGTGCTCATGTTTCTGTTCTCCCTGCAGGCCAGGAGGCGGATGGATTCTGGCAGACCTTTTCCTGCTCGATTACATGAAACAGATATGTTGCACAGATATTTTATTTGCTTGAGCAACATCCAGTTCCACGCATGTGATCTGCTGTCTTTAAGCCACACCCACAAGTTTATTCTCAAACCATACCAAATCAGAGAGAAATGGGCCAGCCCTCAGACCTGGACTTTGTAATATGCCAATTACAGGTCACAGCTTGATTTCTTTAGTTAAATATTTGTCTCCACGTAAATTTAATCTCTCTCCCACTTATTTTCTGGATTCCACTTTTATTCTCTCTCAGTGCCCTATTTCCCATTTGTGTGCACTAAGCTGCAACTTCTAATCCTCGTGCTGCAGTTAGAAAGAAGGAGCAGTAAGGAAGCGGCACAAATGACAAAGGACAGAGAGAAGAACAAGCCAGAGGAATGTGTTTGCCCCAGCACCCTCCTCCTCTTCATAGCAGAGAGGTCAGACACCAGTCAGTCACAGAAAGGGTGCTCATGACCCTGGCATTTCTGCTCTACGCAATACCTAGCAGCACTGACTGAGCACCTCCCTGTTCCAGGCATTCAGTTGGGTGCCCTGGGGTGGCAAGGAGGGGTAAGAGATGGCCTCTACCTCTGCCTAGAGGCAGTACGGGGTCATGCTGATGACATGGCCTTGGATTCCAGGCAGGCCCTATCTTTACTAGCTGTGTGAATTTGCCCTTATTTGTAAAATAATAGAATAATAGTACCACCTCAAAGCATTGTTTGTTAAACAAATGAGACAAGCCCTTTAAAACACTTACCAGGAAACCTGGCAGATAGGACAATCTTCAATAAATATTAGCTACAATGATTACCCATAAAAGAAACTCACAATCTATGGCAAAAAAGACACAGGCAAACAAGTCAGGCCATCGGGTTGTGCTATTTCAAAGGAGGGCATCTGACTGAAAGACCCAAAGGAGGCTTTGTAGAGAGAACATTTTAGTTAAAAACTAAATAATGATCTTTTTCGCAGAGTCAAAAAAGAAAAACACTCACCCTTGTGCAATTCTATTATCCTTTGGTTAGTGCCATGAATAAGAGAAAGAATATGAGTTTTATTTTTAATAAATCTCAAGTCTTATACCAACACTTGGGGAGCATACTGCATTCAAATACTTACTTATATATAGTCTGTCAACATGTATGCATTAGCATAAAGGGTACATTTCTCTAAAATTGTCAAGGGAATGACACTATTATCTGTTTTCAACTTTACTTATGTAAGTGTAGTCAGTCATATTGGGCTACACTACATCCACCCGGAAGAGAAGACACTGCTTGTACAGAATGGTCTCCACCTTGTTCTCCCTGCTGCTCGCCTTCACTTGTGCAGAGCAGGATGAAGAAAGGGAGTCTGACCACTTTTCAGAGTTTCTGGGAGGCATCAAGGAGCTCATATACCCCAATCAATTTAGAAAGATTCATTGGACTTAACATGAGTTTATAGAGTGATGGTGGGATAAGTATTAGGAATAATTTGAATTCAATTTATGTTAGTCCATTTAGGCTGCTGTTAAAAAGATCAGTTTAACAGCAAACTAGTTTAAACAGTTTATTTCTGGTAGTTTTGGAGGCTGGGAAATCTAACATCTAGGTAAAGGTGGATTTGGTGTCTCATGAGAGCCCAACTCCTGGTGTATGGACAACCATCCTCTGTGTTGTCACATGGTAGGAAGGGCAAGGGAGTTCTCTGGAGTCTCTTTGTATAAAGGCATTACTCCAATTTATGAGGGCTCCAGCCTGTGATCTAATCGCCTCCCAAAAGCTCCACCTCCAAATACCATGACATTAGGGATTAGGTTTCAGCATATGAATTTGGGGGAGGACACAACACTCAATCTATAGCAGGTGTCCAACTGGTTCAGGTGTCCAGCCATGAAACAATCAATTAAAACCAGACAGTTGAGATCATGCAGCTGTAGAGAGCTCCACAATTTCCAATACTATCACGAAGCTGATAAGTGACAGTGGCAGAATCCTTAACCACATCTGTCTAATCAGTAACCCATATATTTTCCACGACTCTACAAATATAGAGCAAGGCATAACAGAGTTGGAGTAAGACATTCTGCTATCTATCCAAAAAGCCCCCACCATTTTAGAAGCGTCAGAAAGAACACTCCTGGCAAGGAACTCCAAAATTATCCATTCCAAATTTCTTGTTTTATAGGCCAAATGTCATGGCAAAGCAATGTGGCTAATATTTACTTAAAAGATACTTGGAAAAGAAAAAGATGTAACTCTTCTCATGGGTGCATAAATAATCTAATAGCTTTTGAATATCATGGGGTTGAGGCAGGGTAAGGAGAGAGGTTAATAGTAGCCAAACATTTAAGTTGCTAAGTCAATATGTTTGATCTACCCAAATCCAACACCATAAATTGTTCTTGGCAGTTTTTCTTTCTGAGCACCAAACTGAAATAATCTGAATGCTTAAGTGAAATATTATGGGTCAGCTTGATGAAGTGGTATGCAAATGATCATTTTTGTGATGCTGCAGAAATAAAAATATTGTATAATGATTGTAAAGTAATGCAAATGACATGAACTCCACTGTGTTAGTAACATAGAAATATGTACCAGGGAAGGATGCGTGAACAGAAAAGTGGTTCTCACAGGCTGATCTGATCAGAAATTCATATCTGGGCAGGTGGTGGTGAACCGTTATGCCCAGGCATATAACTCCTTTAGTAAAAGAACTATCTTTGCCTTAAGCAAGCCTTGCCCATTGTTTCCGTGCATCTGAGTTAACACTCCTTTGAAATGCGTCTTTTAAGGCACCTCTTTCTAAAGCGTGACACCCTCAAGAGAACATATAATCTTATTTACTATCTTGTCCTTCAGTCCATTCCTTGCTGAATGTGATGTTCCTTACGTTTTCTTCTCTTTTTAAGAAATATGTTTTTATTGATTCAGACAGGAAGGAAGAGAGACAGAGACAGAAAGAGAGAGAGAAGCATCAATGATGAGAGAGAATAATCGATCGGATGCCTCCTGCACAACCCCCCCGCAACCGCCACTGGGGATCGGGCCCACAATGTGGGCATGTGACCTCCTGCTCAGTGGCTCAGCCACTGAGCCACACAGGCTGAGCCTCACATTCTCTTCATTCCAAATGCATAAAGGAAGCTGCCAACTGCCATTTTTCAGATGCATTTTTCTCAGTCTGTTGAGATCTTACTTCCAGGTACATCCTGTTTGACTTAAATAAATTATTATAAAAATTGCCTACAGGTTTGGGCATTCACACAACAACAGATTTTAGGTAACCTTAAAATATTCTGAGTGGGCAGAAATGTGGGACAGACTGGTCACACATCCACATGTGGTTAAGAATAGGGAGGAACACGTTGGCCACGGAGATCCCCACTGAAGAGTGAGGAGTTTCAGCTCCAAAACCCGCAGCTCCTGTGCTGAGAAGAGAAATCCCCACTACAGCTGGCTGTGAAAATCAGCAGGGACTCACTCTTGGTGAGATGGAGGGCTGCTGTAAACCCAGGCATCCTCTTAAAGGGCCCATCAAAGCCTCACTTGCTCACAACACTTACTCTAAGCTCCAGAGAAGGGACAGCAACTCAAAGAGTCTCAGGGACATATGGGGAGAAACTGATTTTCTGACTTCAAGGTGAGGGCTGGAGGGGCAGCAATCTTAGAGACTAAAGTGCTGGCAGGTGCCATAGTTCCTTTGTTGACCCCTTTACCCCCAGAGTCTGCAGGCAGGTGCCAAATCTGAGTCTTCACCAACTTGGCTAACACTGCTCTTACCCCACCCTGGTGATGCTCTGAGAGCCAGTATCATCTAATTCACACGCCTGGCCCAAAACCTATTTCAGAGGATAATCCACACAAGCAGCTGGCCTTGGTCCATGCTATGGGCTTTCTTAGTTTCTCAAAGGTCCACAAATCCAAAAATGCCTTCGGATGCCCTGTACTTCTTGCTAAGTGGTCCAAAGTTCAGCACTTGTGGCAGCTGGCCATAGTTCACAGCATAACATTTCCAGTTGTCCCTAGGTCCAGCACAGGCAGCTACCAACCACAGATCACTTTGTAGTTCCTATCATGCAGTCCTAGGTCAGACAAAGGCAGCAGCTTATCTTTGCCTGAACCAGAGCCTCTCTCAAGAATCCCCAGAACCAACACACCTGGTGGCCAGCTTCAGACCACACCAGAGCACCACCCAATTAATGCTACTAATGACATACCCAAAGGGTGGACTTGGCAGGCACCACAGCCCCACCAAAGTGAATTCCACTCTGTGGGGTCAGTCCCCACACAACAGCTTGTCCACTGTAGTCATGGCCAGTCCTCACAGCCAGTCAGCCCAAGAGTCAATCCCACCAACTAATGTGCCAATAGCAATCAAGGCTCAACTACAAGAAGAGATTACACACAGTCACACAAGGGGCACCCTGGAACACCTGGCTCAGTTGAACAGGGAGACTGTGCCACTCAACCTCACAGGATACACCTTACATTCCATATAAGGTGCCATGACTAGAGATGTAGTAGATCTACCTAATACATAAAAGCAAACACATGGAGGTAGCCAAAATGAGGACACAAAGACACATGTCCCGAATGAAAGAACAGGATAAAGCTCCAGAAATAAAACTAAATGCAATGGGGCAAGAAATCTACCAGATGAAGAGTTCAAAACACTGGTTTAGGAGTGATAATGGATGATGAGTTTAGGAGAAGAATAGATGATGTCAGTGAGAACTTCAACAAAGAGATAGGAAACATGAAAAAGGAGATAGAGCCCGGCCAGTGTGCCTCATTGGTTGAGCATGGACCTATGAGCCAGGAGGTCATCGTTTGTTTGCCAGTCATGGCACATGCCCAGGTTTTGGGCTCACTCTCTAGTAGGGGTGTGCAGGAGGCAGCCAGTTGATGATTCCCTCTCATCATATTTCCATCTCTCTCTCCCTCTCCTTTTCTCTCTCTGAAATCAATAAAACATATTTTAAAAAAAGAATTAACATAAAAAACACACACACAAAAAGGGAGATAGAAACCATAAAAAAGAACCAGTCAGAAATGAAAAATACAAGAACTGAAATGAAGAATACATTAGAGGGAATCA